TCTCTCTCTCTCTCTCTCTCTCCTTTTTCTCCCAATGCCTAATCAAGACATAAAACTGTTTTCAGTTAGCCGTCAGCGCAAGTGTAAAACATCTCACAAAGCCCGTTCTATTTCCCCACTGTCAAAGACAGAGACAACATTTCCAATACAAGAAATAAAAATGAAATTTGGTGTAAAAATGACATCACCATTCTACTGTGGTCTAAACGCTGTCGCAGAAAATAGTACACTTTATACACACTGACTGCACATGTTCACCACCTCTCACTCTCCCTTTCCCTTACTGGACACAATTGGTATAATTTAGGAGGCGGGCTGTTTCGACCCTACCCGCTAGGGCTAAACTCGGACTCAATGGGATATAATAGGGCATCCCGGAAGAAAGACGGAAATACTCGATAATATAGTCTTCTCACACGCCAATCCAAGGACTGTTATGTGAACAGCGGTAGCTCAGCTGGTATCACAATAGACTTAGGGGTGGATAGCCCTGGTTCTAATCCAAAACTTGGGTTGCTTTGGGAGTGTTTTTACGGCTCTCCACTCGGTCGGTTCGGCCCTATCTGAAATGGACGTCGAATTCTGAGGTCCCACTTCTTAAACTTAAAGAACTGAACAGTGTTGAACAGTTAGAATTACACACTGATAAAAGAAATTGAAGTCGAAGTCACGCCTGTGCACGTTACAACTTAATTTTTAAATAGAACAATATACTGGTAGGTGTTTTACGCCCCCTTCGGCAGAATTTAGATCACAAAAGGATGCAGGCATCGACCCAGCTTTACCAAACAGGAAAAAAGTCGAGGATCGTTGCTTACGGGACCAGCTGAAAGGGAAACAGTATTCCCCCACAGTTGTAGTACGGTAGCACATTGTATGAAAACAAACACAGTCGTCTCGATTCGACTCACGGGGGAGAGAGGTGTTAAAACCAACAAACATGCCCAAAGTATGACGGGAAATGAACGTCCAGCGCTTGCACGCGACGCCTCTAGCACTGGCAGCTTCTAGTGCTTGGGGTCTCCGACGACCGTGTCGCGTATGGCACTAGGAGCACGGGGAGGCTGGCCAAGTGACGCTAGCTTCTGTAGAGAGAAAGAGAGAGAGAGAGAGAGCATCTCACACACATAGCTTGTCGCTCCCGCACGTCCCCGGTGGCTGGAAACACTATTGACGTGGTGAGAGTGAGTGAGCGAGCAAGCGAGCTGCTGGCGCTGTTGTCGGGGGCTTGTGAGGAGGAGTCGGGAGGACCGTACCTTGGTGCTTGCTGCTGATGCTGCTGCTGCAGGACAGAGAAGATCGACTACTACAGGAGGAGGTAAGGGAGAGAGA